AGACTTTGCATTGGAAGACAACCATGAGGGCTTTGTGAAAAGATTTTCACATGCCCAAACCCAAAAGACATACGTTGCTTGCTAATACTGCCATGTAGACCTGGGACCAGAAAATGCACCCCAAGGCTAAGCTGTGAATAAAAAGAAAAATTGGAAAGCAATGTAGAGCTTGAAAGCCAAGAACAATGGGCTGCATATAAAGCCTTTAATGTATCCTTTTAAATAGTACTGCTTCAATTTCCCTGCTTTGTAGATTCAGACAATTACATGTAAACTTTTGATGATAAAAATCTATACAGATTTTTTTTTTTTTTTTTGGTTAGCGGGGATCAAACTCGGGACCTTGCACTTGTGAGGCAGGTGGCAGAATCACTAAGCTAAATCCCTGGCCCAAGTCCCAAGAATATTTTAAGAATTAGTTGACATACTTCAAAGAAGCTAGTCACCACCAACTCACTTGGCCACCTCCAGCCCCCTTCCTTTTGCTCTCAGCTTCCAGCTTTTGCTTGACATTTGGAAGGCTCTGTGTCCTCATAAGAATCAGCCACTCGAGCTCCACATCTGAACTGAAACACTCATTGACTGAGTGTGCCAAGGTAACTCTGCAATTTCAGGCTTCTTGCTCATACCCACATCTTTGATAATTTCTCATTTTTAAAAAACCCTTTCCACATATAATGTAAAACTTTTAAGCAAAAAATAAAATAAAATCTACTTGCAACATAATACATTAATCAGTTTATTAAAAGTTTTGAGAAAAATGTGCAAGGTGGTGGGCACAGAAAGAACAAAGTAAAAGGTCCAAGGGACTGACTTTACAGCTAAGTATTAGCCACTCATATACACATCTACATAGGAATGTGGTGCTGGGGCAGTGCTAACAACCCAAGTGCTTTTAGCTCTTTGTAACATAATACTAAACCTTAAATCACTCTTAAGTAAACTGGGTTATTTCATTTATCAAGAAGGTGTGAGTTGGTCCACTCAGCAGCTCAGCATCATTAGAAGACCTGGGCACTACTTATTTTTATTCAACCTTTCTTCAGTTGACTTTTGCTCTCAGGCAAGGCCTTGCAAAGATGCAAAACGGTTCCAGCATCAACACTTCTACAATGTTGCCTGTGAGCACTGCCATGTGAGGGTAAGATACTCTCCCCTTTTTAAGAGGGAGGTCTCAGAAGCCCCAACTAGCTTCCCATGATAGCTCATTGGCCAGAAGTGTTTCATGTGCCAACTCCTAAATAAGTCACTTGGCCTGGAAAAGAAAATTATCAGGACCAATTTACACCAATCAAGATTCACCCCCTGAGGTTCATGGCTACCTGATACTTGAAAAATGTTTTATCAAGAAAAAAGATGGTGGAAGTACCCCTGGCCTTGGTTAGTTGTAGCGTCTTCCACCAAGTAATATCCTTAAAGGAGTTAAGAATATAGCTTGAAATGAGTATATGTTCATTTCTGGCTGTGAGAGGATTTTGAACAGAGAAATAACAAGAACAAATAGATACAATTAGAATGTCAGTGATTTTGCAGCCTTTTATTCTGAGTGTCTGTGTCTCAACATTCACATGTGTTAAACATATCATTCATTTTTTTGGACATGTATTTCCTGAACCCTGCTATTTCAAGGTGAGGCTACGATGCTACATAAATGGCTGGGGCTCCTTCCCTCAGAGGGGCTTACTGAGAGTTCTGCCCCACCTATATTTCAGGTTTGTCTCTACTATGAGGGGAAGAAGCAGGGTAAGAGGATATTTTAGGGAAAAAGACAAGGAGCAGAAGTGGGTGTAATGAGACGGCTGGTCAAGTGAGATTCTTGAGGTGAATCTGGGCCAAGACCAGATAAACAAAGGTGAATCTGCCATGGAGAAATGAAAGCAGAGCCTTAGAAGTTGAGAGAAAGAAAGCCCTGAGAGGAATAATGTTAAGAGAACTACACAAACCTCCACAACAGGAGGAAGGAGAACAGAAGGAAACAAGTTGGCTTGGACTGAAAGGATTTTTTAAACACATACAATGAAGGACAGGGACCAGAGCAGATAGAGCTTTTTGAGCACGGCACAAATTTATATGTTATTTCAAGTGAAATGGGAAATGGATTTTAAACAGGAAAGAAGCTTTCTTTATTTCCTTTAGAAGCATACTCTGGCTTCTGTTTGAAAAAAACAAAAAACAAAAACAAAACGGAAAGGGGCAGGACCGGAGGTAGGCAAGTGTTAGGAGACAAATACAGCAGTATAGGTACAAGGTCACTTGGAATTGAGTGTCGACATTTTTTTTTTTTCCTGGTAGCAGAGACTGTAGAGTTCATGACTAAATTGTTAAGAACTATTTAGAAAAGTTCAGCAAAACAGAGACTTTACTTCTTGGGAAGAGTCGGAGAGTCTAAGTTCCTCACAAGTTTCCAGGTAATACTTCTGGTCTATCACATGTGAAGTAGCACATATCTAGCAAACTGTAATTTCAACTTCAATTTTAATTGCATGTTCATCTCTCTTATACACATCACATACTCGACAAATGGTATTTAAATTGATTTATGATAAAATTCAGTTCCTTAGCTGCACTAGCCACATTTCAAGTGTTCAAGAGGCACATGTGGCTAGTGGCTACCATTCTGGACAGTACATGTATATATGGAAATTTTCCACTATCAAATAAAGTTTTACTAGACAGCTCTGCTTCAGACAGAAGACATTATTATATTTTAGATTGTGCTAAACATGGTATCATGTTTTCCTTATTCTGATCTTTAACAGGGATATACACAGTTTCTATTTGCTAAAATCAAATGTACCTTTCAAGAATTACCTCAAATTTACCTTTTCTGTAGGACATTTCCTAAAAATGAAACTAGGTGTTAGAAAACTGCTTCCTTTAAAATTAGAATACACATTTGGTTTTCCTCAGCCACACATTTCTACTGTATTTTGCCTATCATCCAAAGTATCCTAGTGTCCAAATCCTATTTCTGTGGTTTCTCATTTTGAGTTAGGGGTGGGCACTCTTGTACTTCTCAGCTATTTGCCCAAGTGAGTCACTTGAACATACTGTGTCCTAGCCACAATCATTATTAGTAGTACATGAGCCAGATGAGAGCTAATGACATCAATCACAGGACATTTGCTGAAAAAAATTGACAAAAATGATCTCTCCACTGTGGTCTCTAAAGATGTGGATGCAAGTCCTCATTTTCTGATGGCCACTTTCCCACAAAATGGGCAGACTTTATTTGACAATGAAGACAACTCGGGTGAAAGCAAAGCTGAGATAAAGCCAGATCCTGGATGACATCTTATACGTGGGTGTTAGCTGAATCTGGAGTGCTGTCTACCTTCGGACAAGAGTTACTGGGGACAATTTCCTATTTCTGCTTACATCAGTTTGTACTGATGAATGTTCATCCATTATAACCCCTTTTAAGGCCCTTGTGTAGTGCTTAGACACATTAGCAATGCGGTACTTGCTAATTCTCTCGATTTGTTCCATCCATTCTTTCAGAATCATGATTACCCTTAGTTTGTTTCATATCAAGTTTGCAGGAGGCATTATGATCACATGCTCACCTAAACCTTTTCTTTGCCAATGTTAATATTTAATTATATTTTAATACTCAAATGTTATGTAGCTAAGAACTTGTTTTCATTACTGTATTTCCCATTGAAATTTTTTTATCAGTTTCCCTAATTTTTACATTTCTGTGTATACACATTATAAACTGATTACTCAAGTCACATAAAACATGTCCAACCTTCCTAGATAGCAGTAGTTAACTCCATGTGCGGACCTCCAGGATGTTTGTCTTTCACTCTTATCCACTTCCCAGGCTTGAAGGAACTCCCCTAAAGACACTAGAGTGTGTGCCAGCAGGAGCCAGTGTGGCTGGGGGAATGCCTTGAGATTCTCTCTTTTCACCTACCTTACCTTCTGGGTCAACCCACGTGTCTGCTTATACCTCTCCTTATCTTTGTCCTGCTTATAGCATATACGGACTCTGACCACAATCCCTCTTCCTCCTAACTGGCTCAAAAAGGCTCTCTGGAATTAGCAGCTGGGCAGGTTCCTAGTCTCCAACCCCTTAGTGCCCCAAACGCAGACAAATCTCACCACTGTGCTTCTGCTACCTGCTCCCTATAAGGATCTTTTCTAATTAGAAAGGATGAGGAAAGAGCACTTCATTCACAAAGGAACAAATGATAGGTCCTCACTAGTTCATCCTAGTCCTTGGTTATATCTCAATAAATGTTTACCAAACAGAATTAAGAAGTACTCTAAAGGACCATGCACAGGATAAGATTATCTTTTATTAGAGATCTTATATTACATATACCCAAAAAGATATAAAATCTTCCAAGAGAAAATATCAAAACCTGTTGATTTCAAGGTAAGCAAAATAATCAAAATGAAAGTAAACATTTGCTTCTAGACAAAGGAATGTGAAAACATTTCAGCGCAAGTACAACAAAGACATGGGAAGATAATTACAATGTTTTACAACATATTTTACAGTATTTTATTTTAATCAGTACTTGCAGAAAACAAGGATGCTAAGTTCTTGAACAATGCAGGAATAACTGCAAATTAAAATTTCAAAGAGGTTGGGGGGTGCAGGAGAAAAAGCAGTGAACTGCCTGGTCAACTGAACATCTGTGACAATAAATGTGATAAATACCCAACCAAATATGCCACTGAGATCACAACCGAAGGATATGCTTTTAGGGAGGACTGGAGACACTTACAAATTATTCAGTCAGCTCTTGACCATAACCCAAAGCAAAAGCATCCTCTCTTCATTTCCCTGATGAATAATTATTCTAAAAATAACCTTAAAAAGCAGAAACTTGCTGGTTAAAGAGAATTTCTGCTTCACCTATGAATAGCTGGTGACAACACACACTGACTAAAATCTGGGCTAACAGGGGACATGATCCATCTCAAACACCCAGAAGTGGCAACACTGTTATTGCATCAGATTTTTTATTTCATTTGATCAGAATTTCTAGAGTGATTAAGCACACCCACTTAACCACAGAACACAGTAAACTCCCAAAGGAAGATATACATTTAAGATGCAACAAAAATACCGATCTTATTCCTGGTATTTGCTTCTGGCAATCCTAACATCTGTAGATGTCTACAAAAAGAAGTGGGTTTTTTTTTTTGTTGTTGTTGTTCTTTCTTCTGGTTGTTTATTCCCCCCCAAAATGAGGAAAAGAAACATGTTTATTGCATGAAATTACCCTCCTGTAATTTCTTTACCAACACTGGTATTGTTTCCTTAATTATTAAAGGCAAAGGAGTTTATAGATTTAACATAACAGTATAATATTAGGAGCTGCATCTTAAGTGACATTCCAGATGATAATCAGACTACATGATGAAACAGAAATGGGATTAACTTCTATCTAAGGATGTCAAAACAACAAGAGGTAAATGGAAATTTAAAGTCAGTTATTACTAAATCTAGTAACATGACTTTTCAAACTGTACATAATCAAAGAGTCCTATGTTGAAAGTGAATATTATGAATGCTGTTCATGTTAAAGTTATTTTAATATTAAGGAAACAATGATCCCAGATAAATTTTATTAGAAGTACTGTAATGGCACGTGGGCTTAGCACAACACGCTTGAGGTTAAGGATACACAGAAGTTTGGAATTGACTGAACAAACACTTAAGATACATTATGATAGGCTACATGTAAGTAGATTTCAGAACAGGGTCTATTTTAAAGCATTCTCTCTTCAATATGGTTAACTCCTGTGAAGTGGAAACAGTATCTGGATTTTGCACGTTACAAAATCCTTGTTTCAAGTTGCAGTTTCCTTGGCAGCAGCATATTTTAATTAACAATATTTTTCTTCCTTATTTTGTTTTCTGACATCTCAGTACATTCAAATAGTCAAAATGTTTAGAGTAACATCACCACAAATTTAATGAAACAGATCAGAATGTGGCCAGCATTGTCAGGCAAAAATCACACAATTTATTTATCATAGAAAGTACCTACCCCTGCCCCAGCCTCCCCATTTTTCCCCTCTCCCTAACAGTAATATGGACACCAAAAGAGTTAACAAGACTTATAAAAAAATAAGGCACATTTATTTTGATATGGTAATTGTAAAATAGAAAACCCCTTCTCAGAACACCTGTATTCAAATGAGCTGTGTAAAAAGACATCTTGCGGTACCTAAAATAGTTTTACGGTACCTATGGAATTGCTTCTTCTATGTTAGTGACAATGGAATAAATTGCACCTATCCCACACTGTCAAGTAATGAAAATATGCCTCTTTATTTTCTATTGTTGAATGATTCAAAATCAGGTATATCTGTAAATACAAAGGAAGAGTCAAGAGGCTCATTAGAAAACGATGTGAAAATCAACTACGTTTATCATAAGGGTGGAGGGATTGCACTTTTCCACATATTTTAACACACAACATTTTTTGTAACTTGTACACATGATTGCAACCATTTTGGCCATTAGCTGTTACCCACCAACCTGTTATTCAATTTTGGTCAAATAGGTACTTTTGTAAAACTAATGAAGGATCAGCCACACAAATACTTACAATGATCTCTTCACAACCCCCAACACAAACATAATTAGTTAGCATTTAACCTGAGATACAATCTGTTGAGAGGTTGTCTTTAAACATTTCTTCATTTGTTGCCATCAATTCACACGGAAAGTGGTAGTTCATGGGAGGAACTTAAAAAAAAGGAAAAGAAAAAGAATCCAGGTTGATAGCATGGCTTTTTTTTTTTTTACTTAACTGTTTTAAAAAAAAAATCACATAATTCATGTTGTCACAGTAGTCAGAAGCTAAAATAATGTGCTTCTTTATTGCACATCAAACCAAGAGTTATCAAAGCCATTGCTTCCCAATCAAAATCTGAAAGTCAGGTTCACCTCAACCGGATTCGGAATGTGCTGATTTCCATCGGACTCAAGTTGATCTCACTTATATTTTGGGTGTCTGGAGGTGAATGCATCAATGATAACGATGAAGGTGTGAAACTTTCAATAGTAAACTTGTTAAAAATTTTCTGTACCAACATCTAAAAAGCAAATGACATAAAAGTATCTGTTTAGATAAATGCTGAAGCAAGATTAGTAACACATCTATAAATTCAGTGAAAGAAAAACAAAAACAAAAAACTGGTATAAGAAAGAATAAAACAGTATGTTGAAGTTCCTTTGTAAACAGTAATAAGGACAGAGCAGTAAAATATGTATAGACCAAAAGAATATTCCTAGAGGGAAACAGGAAACTGGTATAGGCCATGTTTACCTTATTTGGAATTCTTTCTATAATGCTTGTAAATTTCATCCTGCACAGGGGTTACTTTTTCAACAAATAAAGGATATCTACAGACCAACAAGCTTTAAAAATCTTTAGACTCTTTTAGTCAATACCCTTAACAATGGTGGTTCACAGCTGTCTTTTCCTGTTCCAACTGAATTAAAATATAGGACACAAGCCATTATTACTCTAAAGGCTCAAGATATTTTTGAGTCTAACTCTAGGCAGACTGTCATTTGGAGAACACATCAGTTACCGCTGCCACATTATCCTAATATGTCACTTTAGATCATATAACCCTCTTAAAACTCAATGTCTTAATGCTTTAGTGCTCACAAACAAGCGTACTTGGGTCATTAACAATAAGATAGAGAACAAATATAATGAAAAAAAAATAACAGGGAAGCTAATCTATCTAAGATGATTGGGGCCTCTACTGACATTCTCTTCTTCTCAGAACTTAACATACATGCTAATTTGTACAGCTGGAACAGAATCAATGAAGTCTGGACTTCGGTGCATCTGTAGCGTTTGAGAGGAAAGCTGGGGCGGCCAAGTTATCTGGAGGGGCAGATCTGTCTGTGTGCTGGAACCAGCCTGGCTGCCCATGCTAGGTTGTAGCTTGCTTTAGTGGCAGAGGCAGGAGATTGGAGATTTCTTTTCTTCTAAGAAAAGGCTTGGTGAAACTGCCAGCAAGGCCAACTTGAACAGAAATCAAAAATAGGCAGCCAGCCGTAGTGTTCAGAATGGGGATGTGTTTGGCTTGCACAGTACTGACTCATATGCAAATCTGGATTAATCAGAAGACCTAGCATACATTTATTTCCCAAAAGGAATCAACCCATTGGAACTTTGTACCGCGCCTCTGGATCATGATCGATTATTTTATTGACCACCATCTCAATGATTATGCTATTACTTCCTTATTACTATGCTAGTTATATACAGTCAAGCTGGCCTTTGTCTCTGTAGGACTTGGGTTTACTACGGCTGGCCAGGTGATATATGAGTGTGTGTGACCTATGAAAGGAGGAAATGGGGAGGGGAGAGGTAACGAAAAGCCAAAGAAATGAATGAGAATTACACTTAAAAATGTGCAGTCTACCCATGCATTTTATTTATTCATTTTTAAACTTTTATGTACTTTTGTTTGTGGAACGAGGTGGGGGGTTGAACTTGGGACTTTGCCTTTGTGAGGCAGGCAGCAGCACCACGGAGCTAAATCCCTGGCCCCTACTCGTGTATTTTAATATAGACAAGCAGAAGAGAAAGAAGGGGAAGCAAACGCTTTCTTAAGACTGGGAGATTTAAGCTGATGTACAGGCTAAAGGAAAAGTCCATGGAGAGGCAAAGAAAGAGCATTGCTGGACTTTTTTAGAAAGTGAGGATTTTAAAGCACACTAACTTGACCGGAAAAATAACCTCTTGACTTACCTTTCCCTGAGTAGTAGAACAAAGCAACCCCGTGTCTCCACTAGGGAACTGGCAGTCAAATCCTTTCCTGTGGAGGATCAAGGCTGCCTCGTCAGAATACCCAGTGCCCACCTGCAAACGAGCAGAACACGGCGCACCACAGCTCTATTAGAGCAAGTATTTCTAGCACTGTACACACAACTGTCACATTCACTTACCCATTAGACAAATGCATTTCTTTCCAGGTTCAATGTTCATCTCACTCTGCTTTCACCCCCACTGAGCCAGGTGAGATTAAGTGCCAAGGTTACTGGTTAAGCCACTTCATAGTACTGAAGGACATAAGTTTCCTTTTGTTCACATATTACATATTTTTTTTACCAAGGCTTCCTCAAGTATTTTTTTTAAATACATACATATCTGTTGAATAAAACATACTCGACTATAGTTCTTATGTGGTCCCTGAATGATATACCATCTTTTAAAATTGAATCGTGCTTCTTTATAAGTTTTTACAAATTGCATTAACATCTTTAATCTTTAATGTATTGGTTCATTATTTTTATACAAGAGACATTTAAATCCAATTAGCTATGCTTATCACTTGTAAGGCAAGCCCACATTTATTAGTTTGATGTATTATTTAAGTTCACATTATAGAATTCCTGTGCAGAGATAAAGAAAAATACTAAACTTAAATAGGCAGTTACAATAATGTTTATATTTCCTTGCTGTAAAATTCACCATATTCATTTAAATAATAGCATTATGAATGATTCAAGTTTTCACATATTTTGAATTACAATTATCTTAATAAATTTTATGTTACCTAAAGTGGAAAGATGTTTATGATAATAAGAAAATCAAATTAAATATCCTTGGAAAATTTAAGAAATGTAGTATTCAAAGGGGAGTCATGGAATGCTCAGCATTCTGTGGTAAAAATGGTCTTTCTCCCTTCTCTGGCCAAAGAGAGAAGATGGCCAAGCTCTTGGTCATCGTCACTAGAGGAAAAGGATTTTTTAATGTGCTACAGAGACATCTTTCTCTAAATAGCTGCCAGCATCTCCACCACTGCCTTGATTTTCATGTGCCTGAATAGCTTAAAGCTCTCATCTTAAACTCTCAGCTTAAACAGCATTACTACACTATAAAGTTTCACAATGGTACTCTTCAGTGGTACTGCTAAGGTTATGTTTGAAGGGAGAGGACAAAAAGTCATTCTGGGGAATTCAGAGTTACCACAGGACCACCCACAGCAAGTTTAAATCATATGATAAAGATGTTTATGAAATTTTCAACAAATGTCATCCTCGCCAAAGAACATAAAAATAGCATGGAAGAAAACCTGCCGTTTATTATATACATAAGACCCCCCAAAAGAATAAACAGAATTTGATCACGTGGCAATTTTGAAGCCTGAGAATAGTAACTTTTTCTAAGTAGCAAAAGTTTCACTGTCTGTAAAATGGAACTAATGACTACTTCTTGCCCAAATTCACTGTGTGGATTAATCCACTGAAAATATGAATCCAGTGGCCTTGCAAAGCCTTTTAGGACAGAAGGCCTAGTGCAGAAGCTGTAGAGATGAGTGGTTCAGAGCTTGGGCTGGAGGTCAGATAGAATGAGCTACTTTGCAATTTATCAACTACTACTTTCAGCAAACCAGGTTTTTCATTTCCACGAAATAAAACGAAATAGCATAAAAAGGGCTTGGTCCAATATCTGGCACAAAGGATGCCTTAGCAAGTTAGCTATTAATATTTCTATCAAATAAATAGTGGTAATTATTTTCTAAAAGTCAAAATAAACAAACTAAACAGCATCCTTAACTTCTTATCCATAAATTACCTTTACTGATGTTACAGCATTATAGCTAAAGAATCAGGGAATCCTTAAATTATACGTCATCAACACCATAACAAAATCCTTATGAGGGTACACAGATCAGTCTCTTAATTATACACTAGAAGCACCTGTCACTGTTAACAAAGCATTTGACCATTTTAACTCACTGGACCACCCTGAAAAGCCACGTGATATCAGGCACTGCTAAAATGTTGGCAACACATTTGCTCTCAGAGTAATGAATTTCTACGGCCTTTAGCAAAATTAACTTTGGATTCTACTTTTGGATTCTGCGACAGATTTACACCAACAATATGAAAGCAGTCATAAAGTCATAAAAACTAAATTTTACTGATAGAAAAAGTTAAGACTTTCTCTAAAAACTAAAAGTATATCATTTCTGTAAGGATTAAATGAAATAGCAAACCATCCTGTCCAAGTTTAAAAAATCTAATATTCATGAAAGTATCAGTTTTTCAAGCAAAAATACCTGAGGCAAAGCAACAGTTTTTTCAGATTCAAAATCTGTCTAGACATTTTAATTCCAAGAAAACTGTTTCTCAAAGTAGGGAAACTGTGAATTCACTTGAATATGCATGCAGGAAAACAGATACCTCCCAGCAGTCACCCTACACACTCTAAGAAAGTAAACAGACATTCAAATGAGTAATCTCTGGACCCCTCCAAAAGAAGGGAAATGTATGGGTAAATTTTTACAACCTTTCAAGCTGTGCCACACATGACAGTACTAGGTCACTGCCTTTGTAAAACAAGCTAGTTCCTGATGTAATTACTGACGTAGGGTTTAGAAGTTCAGAAGTCAAGTGAAGTCCACTCCAAAACCTAATCTTCAAGATAAAAACCAGCACCTACCTGACAGACGAAGCTGGGCCAGCAAGACTCCTCTGGCAGGAGGCGCAGTGTGGGGAGGATGATTTGGTTGTAAAGTGAACCATCACTTGAAGTGAGGCTTTCAAAAAGCTCACTTACAGCAAGGTTTAGGTTCCATCAAGGAAACAAGGAACCATTTATGTGACTTAGAGGAAATAATTAAGTCTCTCGGTAAATTCAATGAAGTAGGTTAAACCCCTGATGAGTCCCTCTGAATATCAAGGGCCAACCCCAAAGACAATAATAGCAGTTGCAAATATGTGTTCAGCCCTGCCATGGGGACAGATCCTGTGCAGAATGCTCCCCATTAATTCATTTTACCTCACAATAACCTTTAAGACAGGTGGTTTGCAAGTTGGTATGAATGTGTTTAAATGTACAGGAAAATCCCCATCACAAAACAAAACTCAAATAGCAATGACCACTAATGACCATGTTATCCCTCATGATCTTTTCCCTAGATGGTCAGCATTTCCCTCCTTGGGTGTCCCACTATTACTGAATAAAGAAGAGACTGACAGGACAGTCCTCAACATTTTCAGCACCACCCTTCCCAACTTGTTCCCCAGAAAGCCAGAAAAAGCCTCTGAGGCAGGATTTGGAGTCAACTGATGGTGCTTGCCCAATCCCCCTCTTTACCATCTTTAGCTTAGTTGGTTTCCTCTTCTATAAAATGTGATGGGAGTATTGTGTACCTCGTTTATGGTGAGGAGGCTTTTATTTTTTTATTAGCACACATTGTGACACATAGGGGATACATCCATCACCGGGCCTTGGTACTTGCACATATTAGACCTTAATGTCTTTTAGTTTCTCTCCCCCTCTCCCAAGATCCTCTTATCATCTGCACAAACTCTACCCCGCTGTTTCCTATAACCTCTATTTTACTTTGCTCTTTAAATTATTTATATTTTGGGTTTTCTCATATAAGAGAAACCATGTGACATTTAAGCTTATGTCTGATTTATTTAAAATTATGCTTTCCGGGTGCATCCATTTTCCTACAAATAACTCAAGTTTATCTGTCTTAATGGGAGAGTAGTACTCCATCGTGTGTAAACGCCACATTTTCTTTATCTGTTCATATGTTGGTGGTCAGGTAGGTGAGTTCCAAGATTCAGATATGAGCTGTGCTATATAAACATGGGCACGTAGGTATCAGTGTAATAAGATATCTTTACATTTTTCGGGAAGATACTAAGAAGGGAAAACAGCTGGGTGGAATGGAATTTCTATTTTTAGTTTTTTGAAGAATCTCCATACTAATTTTCACAGTGGTTGCACAATCTTAGCAACAATGAACAAGGGTTCTTTTTTCCACACAGGCTCACCAACATTTGTTGATTTTTGGGTTCTTGATGATAGCCATTCTTTTTGGAGTAAGACAGAAACTTGGTGTTACTGTGATTTGCATTTCTCTAAAGGTAAAGATGCTGAAAATTTTATCACGTACTTATTGGCCATTTGTACCTTCTTCTTAGAAGTATGTACTGATCTTAATTGTACACCTTTTCACCGGGTCCTTTATTTAGGGGGCCTAATTTATTTGAATTCTTTATATATTCTACTTCTTAGTCTTCCATCTGAGGAGTCGTTGGCAAATACTTTTTTGCATTCTACAGTCATCTCTTTACTCTGTGGGTTATTTCCTTCGCTGAGCAGAGCCTTTGTAATTTGATTCTTAGCATTGTTTCTCGGGCAATCAGGGTACTGTTCAGAAAGTGCTTTCCCCTACCTGTCTTCAAGAGTTTTACCCATTTTATCTTCCAACTTGGATGTGATATAGGATCTATTTAATGATTTGTTACATTCTATTGGCCAGTATCTTGTTGAAGATTTGTGCATCTGTGTTCATTAAGGAGACTGGTCTATAGTTTTCTTTTTTTAAGTCCTTCTGGAATCAAAGTTAATGCTTACTTCTGGGAATGAGTTTGGCAGTACTACTTTCCTGTAAATTTCTTTGATGAGTATGAGGCTTATTGGCCTTAGATCTCCCCTGAAGTTCTGGCAGAATTCTGTAGTGAATCCTTCAGGTCCAGAGCTTTTCTTTGTTGGCAGTGTTTTTATTACTGTATCTATTTCATTGACTGGTATTGATCTATTCACAGTTTTTATATCTTCTAGGTACAATTTTGGTAATTCCTATGTGTCTAGGAATTTCTTCCTTTTTTCTAGGTTCTCCAATTGATTGGAATATATGTTAATGAAGTAGTTTCTTACAGAACTCAGGATTTTTATCCCAATCACGATTTCATTTTTATGCCACCACTTTTTTTTTTTAAAGATAGGATCTCATTATTACTTCAAGCTGGTCTCAAACACACAGTAATTCTCCTCCTCAGTACTGGAGTTACAGAAATGTGCCACCATGCCTGGCCCACTTTTGTCTTTCC